CCCCGGTCCCCGAAGGCCCGCACGCAGTTAAGGCAGCCGGCCTGCGCCATGCTGCCGCTGCCTGTGGGTGATCCAAGCCCCAAGTTGGCTGGGCAGGAGCGAGGGGAAGGCGGGGACCCTGTGGCTAGAGCGGGGGACCAGGCTTGCTGCGAGCACACAGCCTCATGCCCCCAGGCCCGGGGACCTCCGCGGCGGCAGGGCAGGATGCTGGAACACTGGCCGACTGAGGACCGGAGCTGGGAAGCAGCCGGGTGGCCCCCTGACCCCCTCACACGCACCGGTGTGTTCCACTTGGGGCCCAGGACAGCCCCGCTGGCCACAAACATTCACCCTGCCCCAAGAGCTGGTGCACACCAGCACAGCACCCTACACACAGCTGTGCCCCGCACCCCCAGCCCAGCCAGAGTCCACACCCCATGCTCCCTGGCACACAAGTTCTCGGCCCCTTGCGCGTGGCCAGCAGGGATCTGTGCCCCACAATCCACCACCCTCAGCCGGGCTGCGGGGATTCCATTCTGCACAAGGGACACAGACTGGGCGCTTGCCTCTCTGGCCCTGTGTGGCCACAGCGTGGCTGGGTGGCCCCAGCTCCAATCCCCAGCCACACTGCCCTCAGGCTTTCTCCGTGAGCCCCTCCAGGGCTGGGGTGGGGGACATGATGTCCCCATGATGTGTCTGGGTCCCGGGCAACCTAACTGCAGACCACCTGTTGGGGAAGACAGAGCTGTGTCCAGCTCTTCCCAGTGGGGTGTGCAGGTGGCCCCAGTGGGGATCAGCCAGCCCCTCTGGCCTCACTGGCTGGGGTCCTGTGTGGGTACAGGTCTCCAGCCCAGAAGGTCTGGCGGCCATACTCCCTGCCCTCTGCGGCCCTGTGGCCAGCCCCCTCCCTCTTTACCGGGCTCCTTCCCTCCCCAGTTCCTCAGCAGCGAGGGGTGGGGTGGGGTGGGGGGGTGGGGGGGTCTCAGAGACAGTGCTTCTACCCCAGGCTGCATTTCGGAGTCCCCACCTTGTGAAATGACTTTCTTGGAACTTTCTAGGACCCTAAGAAGTCTGGGGCCCACCTGGGGCCTGAGTGAGGTCTAAGAGGGTCACTAGGCCGG